TCATTTCATCACTGCTTGCTAGGACACTGCCATAAAATGGTCTATCTGTTTTAGACAATTTCCCTTCTCCTCGATGGTGCTACCTACAAGTGGTATGACAAGCTTAGGTAAGTTATTGATTCTATCTCCCCTCAAACTTTTCTGTTCCTTTTTCTTCTATTTGTTTCCACCAAACATTTTATCTGGCGGCCAAGAATGCCATGGAAAACCAGAAATTAGTAGAAGGGTCGTCATATAATTTCAAACCATTGCTTTGTTTACTCATCTGTTCATGGCAATCAAATGGAGAGTGAAGTTAAGGGCATCTCAAGGCTTGTTAAGACTACTGAAGCCAGCTCTGAATGATTATTTGAATTGTTGTTCATATTTTGCAGGCAACCATGGCATTGGCACGGCCACTTGAGGTTGATCTTCAACATAACATGGATACTCTGAATGCTTGCTGCTTAGTCGTAAAATTGCTGAAAAGTTGTTAAAAAAATGTAGCTTCATCTGATACACTTGTGAACCAATGAAACTACTTATATAAAATCATTCTGGATGATCTTTTATCCAATTACTGGCAACGTATGTTCACGTATATTATTTTTTGGCCATGCAAGACAGAGATTTCGAGAATTTGAACTACAGTTTTGTAAACAATAGTGCTAGAGATTGAATGTATGACACCAAATTGAGTTGGGTGTTCTCTTTTTTTTTTATTGAACTAATTTACAAAATTTTTTAACAGTATTTTAATCCAAAAACTCAAAAGCATTCCTGCATTTGAAAACCAAAAGAAGAATTTCTCTTATAAGAACCCTACGAGTTTATTTGACTCTAATTTTCACCAATATATTACCCTTACAAGTAAACCTCGAATTAGATACTCTCCTTCTCTCTCTCTATCTCTCTCTCTCACACACACACTTAAATCTTTAAAATGGGACCTTAAAGGGAAACAGAAAACCACTCTTAGAATAATGTTTTTGTCTTTAATTAAACCAATTGCACACGACTGAGGGTAGAACTTAGTGCAATGGTAACTCTATTACGACCACAGTGTCGCGAATTTTTAGTTAAAGAAACAATCTATCGGCATAAACAAATATCATCTGATATTTGCAGGGCCATGGTCAGAAGAGATTCATGCACCTATTTTTTTTTTTGTTTTCCAAATCATTTTTCACACAGTGCCTCTAGGACATATCTCTACCAATCATGATGTTAACTGCAAGCTGCACTATGGCCTTCCACAGGCCATTATCTGTTGCTTACTGAACCTGGCCTCTATGATGTTATACACGCAAGAAGAAGAGGACAAAGCAAAACTCAAAAGTTGTAGACATCCATTTGAATTTCCCATTTTTTAGTGCAAATTTCTATTTGGACACAAACCTAATCTAAAACATTAGAATCATTAACATTTTCTGAATTCATCACGTTGGTTAGTGAAAAAGGGGGCAAACATATGAAAACTATAATTATTTTTGTGAAACATATAAGTACAAGTATTAACCTGCCATGTTTCTCCTTCTACAAATTCTATGAGAGAGAGACTATTTAAAACTTACCATGTAAATCTGATTTTCTCCAAGCACTATAATTATAGAAATTTTGTGCAATGAATTTCTCTTGAATAAGACTTTATTAGTTATTGACTTTCGTGGCACATGAGCAAATTATTGTTCGAAATTGTATTCGGATTACACTTCTAAAGAAAACTAATGTGATGTAGGGAAACATTTAAAAAGGTTGAGAAATGGAACGAAACCAAACTGTTGATTTTTGTAGAAATACCACTTTAAAATTCTATTCTAGGTCTGTTGATTCAAACAAATTATCATTCCTAAAGACTTCAATTGATTTTTAAGAATGCCAAAAGAATTTGGATAAAAAGGGAGAAAAACACATCTATAATTTTATTTCGTCAAAAACTGTTTTGCCCCGAGGCTTACAAGAGTTTACATAGTAATAAAGTCTTAAACCAACTATGAAACTAAAATCCTAATTAAATTAGAACACCCAATAAAATTAAATCCTAATTGAACTAAAAATAAAATTAAATAATTTCCTAATTACATTAAGAAATAAAATAAAATTTTCTAGAATTCCTTATAAAACGACATTGAGCACATTGAAATAAAATTCAAAAATTCTTACCATCCGTAATGCATAATTTTTCCTAAGTTAGAAAGAATTCGTTATCGAATTCATTTTGAAATTTGAGTCTTCGCTTAAATTTTGGCTTTCGTCCAATTCAAAATTTGAACCCATAAATACTCCAAAAGCTTGACCTTTAACAGCTTGCAGACGGATTGTAAAACCAATTTGAATGGACTTTAGTCTTGACCATGTCCGCAACTTTTCACTCGCAGTATCATCCAGCTCCAAGGGTTTGAAATAAGATGACTTGAAGCTTTCTTGGTCGCATATTTTTCTACAAATTCAATCCAAAATGTATCATAATAAGAGGAGTGAAAACTATAGTCATCTAGATTTTGAAAATTATATTATATGAGCTTGGGATGGATCACAATTTTGCTTACAAGACGGAATTCCCATGATTGATCCAAGAGTCTTTGTGCTAGAAGGACCTAGTAAAAATTGACCAAAGCTTCTTTCCCACTGTGATTCATGTTAATAGTCCCACACAATCTGCCTCTACGTCTTTCGACTCTTAAGTCTTGCTCTTGATGGTATTCTGTAAAGCTCCTATCATCCAATGTCTCATATAAATGCACTAGTAATTGCCGTGTTTGAAAGCAATATTTATTAGAATAAACCAACAACAATTATCCGTACATGAAACACAAAAAAATCACCAATTAGAAATATTGAAAAGAATAGCAGATAAATATGGGCCCATTATTTTTAAGAAATTGCGACAAAATTTTCTCTAAACATGAGTCCTGGACAATATGAAGACGAGTACACAATTGTATAATCAATCCTTCATTTAACTAAATAGGATGAATTCAAGTCTAGTGATGGACCCGTGACTAAAGGCACATTGTAAAACAAAAATATCTCTTAATAAATCCTATAAAACAAATAGGCAAAACTCTCATAAAAAAATGAAAAAATTAGTAATGACCAAGTAAACATATCAAAACCCACTCCCTTGAATTGAATTTGCTATTGCAACTGAAGTTAAATCAAGACAAAAACCTAGAATACAGTCTGTGTAAATAGCTGTCAGATATACAGTCTTAATGGTTTCTTCTAAGTCTCTCCAAACACTTTGCATAACACTGTGAACCTAAGTTTGATAAAGGGCAAGTATTATCTATAGAAAAATGTATTAAACATATGGAACCCATACGCAAACTCGAATTATTCAGAAGTATGGGAAAAATAAATCATTCTGTTTTAAAAAAATCAGTTTAAAAAACCAATAATTATCACATGTACCGCCAACCACTTATCATTATAACCACCCATGTCCCAAAACTCTCACTTCCCATTCATTCAAGCCTTATCTTTATTATCATCACTGTTTCAAGCATCTCTCTTGCACACCAAATAGCAATTCAAGCTTTTCTCCAAGGTTGGAGAACCCATTGCTTGCAAGGAATAAGAGTTGTGACTCCTTTAATCCACCTTCTCTTTATCTATTCCTAGAAACCAATCCACCCCAAGCAGTCATGTAGCCCTTCAAATTCTTGGTTTTTCATGGTTTCTTGAATCATGTGATTCAATTAAAATAATCAAAGGCAAAAATTAAAAGCATAAAGGGTCTATGTAAAATATAAAATTAACAAACCCATTGTTATTCAAATGATAAAATATTATTTTTCAAATGCAAAAGGAAAAAAAGGCGAAGTTACAAAAACAATAACAAAAAAAATGATTCTAATGCACAGAACCAAGTACCTTTGTCCCACGTCATTGTTACTTGGGCAAGGAAAATCGCACTCTAATGTCATAACAATATCCAGCACAGCCCCACAGTACCTGCAGAAACATTTATAAAGTTTATCACTATATTCATTCAACAAACCACATTAAGAACCTCAAGAAAAAAACCAGAGTCACAATTACCCAGGATGACTATCATATTCCTTTTCTAGTTTAGGAATACATAATGCTAGGTGAGTATCAATAGATGATAACAGTAAAAATCATAAGGAGCATATAATGCATTTGACCTATAAAATAGGGAAATTAACAATCAGGATGTAGCTGGAAACAAAAATGCTAAAACATGAAGTAAAACTCAGATGAGTACAGGGGCAATATTCCTCACCAGCTTTTAAGTTTCCAAGCATATTGACATCACCATAGTTTGTCATCTCCACTGAAAGTTTCCTATAAATGCACAAAGCAAGAAATTCAGAGCATATACTCTAGATAAAACTAAAGTAAATGCAGTAATAAATGTGTGAATTCAGAACTACTTGCTAATGGGTATGATTGCGGTACCGCGCACGCACTCAGAACCACCTCAATTCCATCGATGCAAATTAGATGACAAAACCAATAGCAGTGAAAGAAACCATGCATAAGGTGGCTTTGCAGATCAAAAACATCATCAACCTACATCAAAATAAGTCAATTAAAATAAGGACTGCAACCTACACCAAAAAACCATTGGACCAAAAAAAAAATTAAAGGAGAAGATGATCCAACTCATTGAAGCAATAATGCAAACACCAAAGGAGAAGATTATCCAACTCATTGAAGCAATAATGCAAACACTTGGCGTTCGGTGGGTTTTCGGCGGCAGCGTGAGAGGAGCAGGAAGGGGTGAAAGCCATGGTTGGCTGGGGGTAAAAGTTTGACTTTGGGTTTGTGGAGTGTTCGGTAGGATGTAGTGGGTTTCGGTGGCAATGGGGGTTGGAGAGGAAGGGGTGGACGCAGTGGTTGGCTGGGGGTTTGGAGGAGAACGGTGGGCCATGGGGCGATGGGCTGTTTTGGGTAACGAAGGGAGAGAAGGGGATACCTCGCTGGACCTCGGTGGTGGGTCTCTGCAGAGCGTCCTTCGCTGGGTAGCTCCGTCCATGGTCGTGGAGAAGGTTACTGGCAGCAACGGCAGATGGGGCCAGCGACAGTAAGGGGTGTTTGGCAAATTTTTGGGATAGGATTGGTTTGATTTTTTAATCCAAACTAGTCCAACGAAAACTCAATGCGCCAGACCGGGCCCACGGAAAATTTTTTGTTTTTTTGTGTCAAATCTTTTTAATTTTATATTAAATTATAATTTTACCTTTCGTTCCTATCCAATACAAAGTCAATGTTGAATTTACAATTATATTTATGTTGTCCAGTTTTATATTTTATTCCAATTTTCAGCTGTGTAACCGAGTGGAATGACAGCATAATTCATTTGTCGTACATTTACTCGTGAAATTGAATAAATCAGTAGCTCAACAACTAGACTCTGAAAAATTTAAAACAAAAGTCATATACACCAGCAGAATTTGTCATAAATTCCACCAGCCGTCCCACTAAAATTGAAATCAAGAACAAAATTAGTTAATACCATGTTTCATATGATGTGAGATTTTTAAATCATTGGCGCCAAAACCAAAAGAATACCAAACAGAAGATTTAGTATTAATTACGGTTTATTCACTATTCTCAGCACCCAAACAAAATGTGGACAATATATTAAAATAAGTTTAAAATCCAAGCCATATTGAAGAATTGTCCATATACCAAATCTCAACACCGACCTATACAATATTCCAATTGCCTACAAAACCAAAGCTCAGTTTAGATATATTTAAACTGTAAAAATGATTAAGTTGAAAAAAAAATCAAAATTAACATACTTCAAAGCCATTTTCCGATACGCGCTCTTGATTTCATGATCCGTAGAGTTCCTTGAAACCCCAAGAACGTCGTAGGGGTCTCTCCGCTGTTGCTTCATCGCATCGCTCTTCTCTGATTTCGCCTTATGACCCAACATTTCCACTTATAAACTCTCTCTTTTAACAAAACCCTAGAAATGGCTCACAGAGCTCAAAAGTCCACATAGATCCACAAAGTTTGTCTTTTTCAAATCAACATTGTCGAAAATTTTGAACCTTGAACGAAAAATAATTGAATTCCCCCGAAAAATAAGTGAATTTTTCGGAAAAATTCGGCTTCAAAGGAAAACTAAGAAATTCAGAAAACCCTAGCTATGACACCTTCAAGCTGGAGCTTGAATTTTTCAGATAGAGAAATCTAGAGAGAGAAAATATAGGGGAAATTAGGTGGCATTTTCAAGTGGCATACCTTCGGCAATGGGGACCAATGAGCGTCGTTTGCTGTGGGAGGGAACCAGGCTGAAGTGGAGAGAAAATGGGGTTAAAAAACCCTAGACAAAATTTACTGTTGGAGGACAATTATGTAATTACACCTATTATCCTATTCATGGGCTTAGCAATCTCAAAGTTCAGGTGGGATTGCTGGATCTCGGTCAGAGAGGATAAATGACTGAATTCCTACGAGCCGAGTAAATGAAGCTCAACGATTATCCCATCAAGAAATATGGATACAAACCTGAGATTTGTAGGGCCTCAGACTTTTTTAACCCAATCTAAGTCCATTATCCCACTTTATCCACCCGAACAAACAACCCCCCTAAGAGAATAGAGTGGTAAAAAAGAGATTGGGGAGATAGAGGAGAACATATTCATTACAATGGTAATACCTGGTAATGTAATGTGATATCATTTATTAATAATATTAAAATAAATAAGTAAATAGACCCTATAAAAATTAATTACTAATTTATCATGTAAGCAAATAACTCTCACTCTTTTTTCATATAAGTTCAAGTTAGGTTCACCTTGTCTATTTTGAATTTTATTATTGGTTGGTAATAGTATGTCATCAATGTTGACATGATATCATTGTTGCATTCAATATTTAGTAAAGATAGAGAAGTCGGATTCCTCTACGGTTGAAGACTAACGACATGCTATGAGGTTTAATGGAACGGCGTAGTTTTGTGGCCCTTTATTTTTCAAAACAAAATCCCCATTCTTCTATGCACAGAAACTACCTTCTTTGCTATTTTTTCAAATCCTTAACCCCTATTTTTCAAAATCTCCCCAAATCTCTCCTTCTTCGTCAATCTGCTTCATCATATGCCATGGAAGGTTGCAATGGAGCCTGAAAGATCCAACCACCTCTCCCTCTCATTCGTCATATGCTTGAAGGTTGCAGTCTGCTTCGTAAAATTTTTTATTTTCTGATTTCGTCATCTAATTTTTCTAGTTGATAGGTTGAACTTTTTTGTTTAAATGGATTAATGACCTTAATCCTCATTAGTATTATTTAGTATTAGTTTGAGCTTGTCATTTAGGCTTAAATTTTTCTGGTTTAAAAAAAAGAAGACTCGATGTGGCAACTTTACAGTTGAAGTTGATGTAATAATAATCTCGGTGTAGCTTAATATTAGTTTGGATACTACGTAAGGAAATGAGCAAAAATCAAAGATGTTTTGAGGAAGGGTTTGGGAGTATTTCAACAATTACAAAGCTCAAGCAAATTGTAGTCATACTATTATTTCTTTGATGATTCGTTGGTTGACAATTTAGCTAGCCACTAACAAATTGTGGTTGCATTTCCTAGATTAAAAGGTTGAATCAAAGCGATTTGATAGTGAAAGACAAGGTTTAAGTGCACTTTTAATTACATATTTGTGATGCCAACATTGTTGGAATGAGTTAATGTATCAACCAAAATGGATGAAGGATTCTCAAGGAAAGAAGCAAAAAACAAAAGGTACTACAACTCCTCGCAGCTCTACTCCTTCAACACTAGAATCAATAAATTTAAGATACGACAATGGTTCATATGGGGGCTTAGAGAGGCCATCTGGAAGGAAGACTGAAAAAAAACGAGTAAGAAAATCAAAAAGTAAATTATCTAGAGGCGATGATACAAGTTTTTATTTCATGAAACTGTTAGAAGCTACAAAGGAAGAGAAGAAGATAATGAAAGAGAAGAAAATTGAAATGCTTTAAAGATATTATCTTCAAGAGGAAGAACGACTAGATCAAGAGAAAAGGCAACTAGATCACGAGAAAATGAGGATGCAAATGGGGCAACTAAGAAAAGAAGAGAGAATAATGTCGATGGATATGAGTGTCATGCCTCCAATGCAAGCTAAATATTATAAGCGCTGCCAAATGAAAATCCTAGGAAAGAAGATGTAGTTCTTTTTTATTCGTAGACAAACAATTTTTGAGTACTAGTGACAACAAACAAGTACTGTAATAAATATTTGTAGACAATGAATGCTTAACTAATGCCTATAAATTTCCATGCGTATTTTACAAGTGTTCGACTAGATCAGCTTGGAGTTTCGAATGAGTTTCTCTGTCTCTAATGCGATGTTGAGTACGAATAAATTGGAGCAACTCTAAACTCCCATTCAGGTATTAATGTAGGAGTAGGACTTTCATCTGTTGCATCATAACTAAAGTCCATCACACTAGCATCTCGCTCATTTTCGACAATCATGTTATGCAATATTATGCATGCTATCATAATATCATTAAGCATTTCAAGTCTCCAGAAATGTGCTGGTCCATGCACTATAGCAAATCTTGCTCTAAAAGCTTGTTCAACATCCTTACTTGTTGACTCTTGGGTTTTTGTAAAATGTATTTGCTTATTACCTCTTGGAGATGGAATTGTTTTGAAAAACGTTGCCCACTTTGGATATATACCATCAACGAGATAATATCCCACTATTGATATCATTGTGGGATCCAGGTAACCCAAAAAAAACATGTCAAATCCAGAGACCGTATGAGGCCACCGCCTCAAACATAATTGTTGGTTCATAAACGTGACCAAAGTACATATCTTTCCATGCTACTGGACAATTCTTCCATTTCTAATCCATACAATCAATGCTACTTAACATCTCAAGAAACCCACGTCTTTGCCCCATTGTCAATAATTTAGCAATGTCATCTTTGTTTGGTGATCTGAGGTACTCATTGGAATAAATTGTTACTACTGCCTTCACAAATCTTTGTAGACTTTTTATTGTCGTGCTCTCATCAACCCTCACATAATCATCAACAACATCTGTTGCAACTCCATAGACAAGCATCCTTATAACGGTTGTCATTTTTTAAAGAGAATACAAGCCAATAATCCCATGAGCATTTTTTTTTGGGTATAAAATATGGATCATAAGCTTTCACCATGGATAGAATATGAAGGAAAATGAATTGATTCATTCGACACCTCCACCGAAATAAATTTGGAGGATAGACAGGTGATTCAACAAAATAATCATGATAAAGTCTCTCGTGCACTTCAACTCGATTTCAAAAAATAACAAAATGACCTTGACTAGAACCAGGACGTACTCCAGAGTTGTTCTCAATACTGAGTTTCTCTATTTCCATAGAAGCAATCGTTATCATCTCCAATTCATCGTTGGAGTCAGAATTGTTAATAATCATCTTAAATGAAAGATGACGAGCCAGAGAAAATAAACAAGGAATAGTGCAATTACAGTAAATAAATTTGAGGTGTATGACAATAAGAGGGGGAAGGTCTTATTTATACATATTCAAAAATATGACAGTTGAAAATATGACCATTGATAAAAAAAAATTAATAAAAAAATATATATAAATATATATAAATATGACCAGCCTAAATATATATTTGAACAGTAATTCAAACATTAATAAAAAAATATAAAAAAATTATTTTTAGATTGACAAATTCATAAAAAAAATTCAATAAACCAAACTTTAATATATATATATACACATACGTATATGTATAAATAAATAAATAAATATATATATATAAATTCGAATATATACACGTACTCGTTTTCTGTTTTTTGACTGAAATCTCATTTTTTTTCCCAAAATTTAGAAAACAAAAATGCTAAACAAATAGATTTTGGGTGTTTTTGAAATTTTGAGAACAAAAAACTATTTCCGAGATGATAACTAAACATGGCCTAAGTTCTTCAAGAACTTTGATATATCAGAGTGTTGATCTTTATGATCACTATATATTTTCTTGCTTTCATTCTTTTTCTGTGTATCATTCTAATTGGAGAACATTTGCCATTTATAGG